GGCCGAGGAGCGTGCACGGAAGGAGGCTGAGGAGCTTGCACGGAGGGAGGCTGAGGAGCGTGCACGGAGGGAGGCCGAGGAGCTTGCACGGAGGGAGGCTGAGGAGCTTGCGCGGAAGGAGGCCGAGGAGCTTGCACGGAAGGAGGCTGAGGAGCTTGCGCGGAGGGAGGCTGAGGAGCGTGCGCGGAGGGAGGCCGAGGAGCGCGCACAGCGAAAAGCCGAGGAGCGTGCACAATGCGAGGTGGAGACGCGTCGCGTTGAATCCAAGGACTTTATGCCAAACGTTGGTTGTGCGGCGGCTTCTACCGCGGAAGCCAATTTGAAGCCTAAACGTCTGCTTGGAGTTTCTTCGACCCTGTCAGATGAATGTGGTCCCGGCTGTGGCGACGAGTCCGATGACGAGTACGAGGCGACCTCCACTACAAGTTATAGCACCAACAGTCGTGGGGTCGCGCAGGTTGAGAATGACAACGGCCTTCTCTCTGGTGTATCAGACAACGCGTCGGACTTTTTTTCCGACGCGAATCCTCCACCTGAAGTCTTTGAGCAATATGCGTCGCAGGAGTTGCACCGGCTTGGCCTCACGGAGGCGGAGTTGCGCTGCCGGCGCATCGAGTGCCATCAGTACGAGACGATACGTGAGCCCGGCCGCTGTTTGTTTCCGCCCGGCGAGCACCGGGAAGGCGAACTCTCCGCCGCAAGCGTGCAGCTCGGTTTCTTCCGCGCGAAGCAGGTGATTATCTCCAGCTCGCTTCCGCGCCAGAAGAAGGTGGCGGAGCGGGAGCGGCGCGATGATCCGGGGCAGCGCCCGTTGAGCACACTTCACGGCTTCTTTGAGAGCGAGCTCCTGCTAGACCCCGCCGTGACGTTCGATGACGAGGACCTTCCACACAATGCCCCCGCGGAGTGCGTGATGACGGAGCGGGAGCTGCTCTCGGGCCCGGCGGACACGGCGGTGAGGCGAGCCCTGTCGAGGCTTTCCTTTGGGGACCCCATCCAGCTCTGGGAGAGGGCCCGGGGCCACTCCTTCGACCTCCTCAAAGCCGGTGGCAAAAACTCGCAGCGGCAGCCGACGCACACCAGCGGTGCGACCGCGAACGCCATTTGGGTCAGTGAGATGGATGCAAAAAAGCCGATCACCGCCGTGAAGGTTTTCGCCGGTGGTGCCCCGCTACGGGTGGAGTGCACCAAAATTGGCGGTCCCATGGCGGACATTCACGGGAGTGACGTGGATCCGGTTATTCTCTCCATGGCATTCTTCAGTGTGACGGGGAACAGCCGGATGAAGGTCTCCGAGACATTCTTCTTTGACTCCGCGGTTGACATCTTTTACCCCCACAAGGAGCGCCAGGAGCTGATTCAGCGAAACGAGGTGGTGACGTTTGTGCCGCGGGAGTTTATGAGCTCACTGTACCTTATCGTGCACGTGTACCGCCCTGCCAGCGAGGAATTCGAGAACTACGTCGACCTCTACACGAGGCCTGACCGCTACAAGAGTCAGCACGTCGTCCCAATGAAGCAGGAGACGCAGCTGCTCGCCATGACCTCCGATGCGCTTGAGGAGTTGGGCTGGGGGTTTGTCGCCTGCGGGCGGCGCCCAAGCGCACTCGCAGAGACGGTTTCATTTAAAAAATTGTACCGGAAATCCGTTACTGATGTTCAGCTTTGCAAGCTCGTGGATGATGAGCGAGAAAGAAACGCGCTGCGCACGGTCCCCTTTGAGATTGAGCTCACAATCACAGACTGCGCGTCACACGAGGTGGCTTTTCCTTCGCAGTACGCGGAACCGCTTCCAGAGGAGAACGAGACGATGGTGAGTCTTTTAGACCCAGACATCCCCGGGGCCCGGGCGCAGACCTACCGGTATGTTCCCTGCGCCATTCCCATTCTCAACTCCGGCTTTTTCTCCGCATACCATAGCGTCTACTACTTCCGCCTGAATAGAGTGAAATTGCTGAACTCTGGCAGTCTTCGCAAGGTGCCGAACACGCACCGCACCTACCTGATGCAGATTTGCGTGAAGGACAAGGACATCTCCCTTGGGGAGGAGGGACTACCACTGATTTATGGACGTGGATTGTCAGGGAGGAAACTGGAGACCTCCGCGTGGAGCTCGACGGTCCATAACAGCTTGGATTTTGAATTGAACGATGAATTCAAGATCCAACTGCCCCTTTTCCTGACGGATGCGCATCACATCTTTATCACGCTGTACGCTACTTGCCAGAAGAAAAGTCTCCCCGTGGACGGTCAACAGAGACTGTGCAAGGTCGGTTACGCAGCCTTCCCTCTCTGTCGGAATGGCGTGCTGCGCGTGAAGCAGGATTGGGCGATCAACTTCGTCTCCGCGGAGCAGGCTGTGGTGATCGCTGCCGGTGGGTATCTTAGCAAGTTCCCGGAGGCGCCGCGGTTGGCGCTGTTGAACAACGGCCTCCCTGTTTTACATGCCTCAACGCAAACCCGTACGTCTGTCCACGCCTCGAATGAGGTCATTGCGGGCATCCTGCGGGGTGTGACGCCCGCCTTGAAGAGCATCTCACAAAACGACGAGGTGTTCGCAGTTTCAGGGACCTTAACGGCGGGCCAAGTCGCATGCGATGATGCGGCGCATTCCAAGATCATTGCCCTGATGCGGAAGCTGCCACTTGCAGAGATTCTCGCTTTTTTCCCACTTCTGTCGTTTTTCAGTCTCGCGCTTGTCAGCTCTCCTTCGTCCAGTGTGAGCTTGGACTGCCGCACGGCGGCGCTGGACGTTTTGGTTGACATGACTTACAGGTCCCAGGAGTACGACATTGCCACGCAGGCCTCGAGGCGGCGCCAGGGGCAAGAGTCAACGCCTGGACCCATGTGGACCTCCGTGACGACAATCCTGTACTATCACCTCTCAAACAATCTCCTGTACGATGGGCAACGGTACCCGCTGTACGCGGGTGTGGCGGAGGTGTGGCTGAACTTGTTGGCCCAAGCGAGAACGGCTCCGGGTGCCCCAGCGCCGAGCACTTCGTCGGATGGAGGCTCCAATGCCCCCAGTAGCACCAAGGGTGGTGTGCCGGCGCAGCGGAATATCAAGAAGCAAATGACGGATCTCTCATGGTATTTGTTTGACGTCATACTCCGCTCTGTGTATCTGTCGGCTTTGGAGAACCCCAATACACCCCGCACCGAGTTGTTTCATCCCAGCTTCTACGCAGTCGTACAAAAACTCTGCACCGAGGTGCTTGACGTGCTTGCTGGCTTCACCGTTGCTGGAGTTTTGGTGCGTCGGGTCGCGTTGTTTGTGCGCAACCTTGGCAACTACTGCGATCGTGGGCAGCTGCTGGAGGTCTATCACTGCGTGGTGAAGTTCTTGGAGGACCGGGGAGATATGGAGGGGCTGTGCGTGTTTTTGAAAATAACGCTGGAGGATCCGGATGTCGTGGGGTTAATGCTGCCCTTGTCGGCCCACGCCAACCCCATCTTTTTCACCCGCATTTTGCTGGACGCCTTGTCACGCCTGTTACTTCACCGTGACCGCGACACAAGGGCGGCGGCGACGGAAATGCTCTACTCCTTCCTTTGCGGTCTTGCGAACAACCCACGCGTTCCCGCCGCCAATCTTCGCTGGGTGGCCTCCCAACTCTTCTCCCTGCTGCGGCCGCTGTCGCTGCAGTGGAAGTCGTATTTGCAGCTCTGCGAGAAGGTGGATGCGGCCACTGCCGTTGCCGATAAGCGGCAACTCGTCGTGTGCATGTTGTGGATCACGTACTACACCTCTCGCGACATCATACGCCAGTGGCTGGCGGAGGAGACGGACAGCAAGGCCCTCGCCGGGTTTCTGGGGATTACCACCGAGGCGCAGTCGCTGCTTCGCTACAACGCGGGTACCGACAAGGCAGACCTGCACGGGGCGAAGGGCACAACGAAGGAGTTACGGGAGTGGGATGCCCGCATGTCGACCTTTACGACGGCCATGGGATCGCGGATGTGCAACATTTTTCTCGAGGATGTTCCGCACGTTCTGCGCACGCTACGCGACGACCAGGCAAACATAGCCGTGTATCCATTTTTTGTTATGCTGGAGAATCTTCTGCACTTGGGAAACTCCACTGTGGCGCTCCAGTTCGGTTCCGCCGCCTTGTTTGAGGTTGTCTGCTCCTTGTTCCCGGAGATCATCAGTGGGACGGCGCGGATGGGCAGCGGCATGGTGCTGCTCGCCTTTCGCCTGATGAGTAGTTGTTGCCAGTACGTCCGCGCAATTGCCGGGCGAGCCTTTTTCCTCATGAGTCAGTCGTACTTCAAATGGAACCGGTCCCTCGCGCGAATGAAGTCGCTTACCGCCAACGCATTGGTGTCTGTGGCGGAGTCTAAGACGCGGGATCTTCGTCTGGCGGGGAGGTTCATTGAGTTCCAGTTTGACGACCTGCTAGAGCGCGCCCACGCGGAGGAGGAGCATTACCGGGCACCCTCGCAGACCTACGACGAGCGCTACGGGGGCGACGGCCACCAGCCTGGCGGCAACTCTGGCGCGAAGTACCGTTACCGCGTCGATCCCCTGTTTCTCTCCGTGCAGCGCCGCCTCTCCGTCCCAAAGTACCTGCTGGAAGGGGAAAAGAGGGAGAGGGGGGCGGACCTGCACGCCGGGCACGACGCTGCGGGGGTGTACGACAGCAGCGAGAAGACGCCGCCACGCTTCTCGGAGGAGTTTGCCGCAATGTCTGCGTCTGCGCTCAGTCTTTTTCGCGACGTCTTACGACTGCAGGTGGACGACTCGATGCGGTTCAAGGAGGCGAAGGTGTTTGCGTACTTCGAGGTGGTGCGCAACTTCCTTCGACAAAATGCGCTTCGCGAGGTTCTGAAGTGGCTTCACCGGCTTCACAGCACGCACAAAGCCAACGGGGATATGGCGGAGGCGGGGATGGTGCTCTTCTTCATCGGTGCTTTGTGCTTCCGCGTGACGGAGATGTTCTACCAGCTTAGGGGAAAAGACTCTCGCGGCGCACGCATGCCGTTTGGCCTCTTGTCCTACGTCTTTTGGCACGACTACGTGCGGGTGTTGCCGGAGGTGGATGTGCTGCTTCCCGTCGACACAATCTACGCCATCGTGTCTGGGCTCTACGTCTGCCCCGATGAGGCCTGTTGCTCGGTGGAGGGGCAGGTGAAGGCGCTGAAGGAGGCCGCGGAGCACCTTGACAAGGACCACTACTACGAGTTCTCCCTCGGGGCCATCGCCATCGTGGACAAGTACCTGCGCGCCATCGGCGACTACAAGGGGGCGGCGATGGTGCACACGGCGATGGCGACGTGGTGCACGGCCGTTGCCCAACAGGGCAAGCGGCGGAACCACCGCTACTTTCTTCTTTGGGCCCGCATGGAGCGCGAGGAGCCGCGCAAGACGCGGCGGGAGCTGCAGGAGGAGGACACCGTGCTGGGCGAGCGGCCGCGGGGGTTGCCGGAGGGCCGGGCCATTAAGCGCGTGTACAAGATGCCGCCCGACACCCCGCTGAAGGAGTTCCAGGCGTACAGCAAGTCGTACATCGACTCCCTCTTCGGGGACGCGAGCCTCGTCGTTCTCACAGACGACCTCGCCGACACCCTCCCGGCGCTGCCAGAGCCGACCTCCAAGAGGAAGCGGGTGGCCTCGCAGCACCAGCCGCCGAACCACTGCTGGGTCACCGTGTGCGAGGTGCATGCAAGCTTTGCGAAGGGCGAGCCAGCGCCCCCCAACGGCTTTGACAAGTCAATGCACCTGCAGAAGTTTGAGAGTATTTTGTACGTCCGCGCGAAAACGGAGTCCACCGACACCGGGACGGATGACGTGATGAACCAACGCATGTCCATAAACGTGTATGAGCTGGATCGCGCCTTTCCCTCAACGACGAGCGCTATTGATGTCTGCAGGCTCGAAACGTCGCTGCTGAACGCCTACGAAACGGTAGTAGAAACTTTGCGACAGCGCACGGTGGCGATTGAGCAGGCGCCTGAAACTGACACGCTCATCACGGTGCTGCGGGAGGCGCTCTCGCCGATGGGGATCGCGCCCCCGGGCGCCTACATGAAGGAGGTGATCTCCGCCATGGGCGGCAACAGCGAGGTCGTGGAGGCCGTCAAGTCACTCAGCGCGGCGGCGCGGAAGAAGTTGTCGGTGTGCGAAAAACGAAACGTGCTCGTTTCGCAGTCTGAGGACTACGCGCTCGTGCTGAAGGCGGTGACGGATATGGAGTGCTGCCTCATCGCCGTGGTGGATTCTCCTCGTGAGCAGTATGAATAGCAGAGGTAGAGCTGTAAGGTAAACCAAACACACAGAGATGAAGGGAAAAATAGAAAGCGAAAGAGAAAAAAAATAAAGTGTGCGCGGCGGGGGGCAGCACAAAGGCCACATACAACCGTAAGATAATTCTTGAAAAAACAACAACAACAAGGAAGTGGAGAAGGAAGGGGAGCGAAGACAAAACCATTATTATATGAAGAAGAAAAAGGGAGAGAGAGAGAGAGGAATAGAAAGTGCGTGCGTGTGTGTGTGTGTGTCTCGACCCTC